GCTTGCCACTCGTGTTATCACTCACGTAAAATGTGCGACACGTAGAGTTGCCAGAGAGCTCGGCTGCATTTACTCTCCGGCCGAGGAGTTTGCCTGCGTGGACTTGAAGGAGCAGGGTGGGACACAGCGCCGCGCCTTGTCGCCATAGTTGACATGATACCAACATAGGTTGGCGGTCCTGGGGCGAGAGCGGGAACGACGACGGTCACGACAGAAGGAACGTCGAGAGGGACCGGAGGATCGGCGCAGCTGCAAAGCGGCAACAGTCGCTGACAACTGGGCAATCTGCGTCTTTAGTTCACCAAGGTCAGAGGTGGACACGTTGAGAGGCTGGGACACCTGAACAATCGTCGGGGATGACAAACGCTCAACCTCCATCATACGGTCAGCCATCTCCGCTAACTTTGATATTTCTAGGTCGTCGGAGCCAGAGGCCAAGATTGTTTGTACAGACGTCGGCAGACGTTCTAAGAACATCTCTTTAAAGAACTTGTCGTTGATTTTCATGTTCCCAACCTGAGAACGCATGCGACGCAAGAGTTCCGACGGCTTGCGATCACCTAAGGCCTCCTCTTTTACTAGTGCGTGATAACGCTGCCGATCGGAGACTGATGTCAGGCAAAGAAGTTCAGCCTTTAACTTGGTGTAAGGAGCATCAGTCGGGGGATCTCTCAGAAGCGTCTGCACTCGAGAAAGAATGGTGGGAGGGAAAGCCTCGACCAGCTTATAAAACTTGTCCGTTTCACGTGTTATCTTGGTGGAGTGAAAAGTCGCCTAAATACGGAAAAAATAAAACTCTGGTGCATGTTGCCAAAGGTCTGGGAGGGAAGAAACAAGTCCACTAAGAGAAGAAGTGGGATCGTTGGAATTCGTAGAGGACATGATTGTAGAAAGAAAGAAGGCAAACGGGCAGTATGCAAATAGAAAGTCCACTAATGCAAGGTACAAGCGTGAACGTCAAATGGTCACCACTGTATCAAGCGCTAAAGACAGAACCGTCAATCCCAGACTATGAAAATCAGGATAAGACCAGAGTTATGGAAGAATTAATAGTCAAATGTCAAACGACCTGACAATCCAACTCATGCGAAGCGCGTCGCGTCGAGTTGTGTTCATTCCATTCAGTTAAACGACCAGTAAGTTCAAGAATGAGGAACAGGTAGGGAAAGGCAAGACAGTCTGGCGCCTCGGCACAACATATCATGTATTGTTGGGGTATTTAAGGACACATAGGGCTCTTAAAGTTTTCAAGTATAAGTGGATTCCTGAAAGCCGCCCTGGCTACTTGCTTACAGTTGTTTCCTCAAGCACTTTGACTCAAGCGCTTAACTGCGAGGAAACGAAGGTAGGCAATATGCATAATTTGGGACCACAGCCACCAATTCACAGAACCGTTCATGGACACGCGACACGACGCTGACAGCAAGGCTGTTGCAAACCTTATCACGTGTCTGTTGGTAAGTTGCGCTGTCGTAATTGCTACAAATGCTCGTGTGTGCGGGGCACCTATCTGGCTAGTCCTCCTATACGATTATTGAAGATGAACTGCGTGCGAAGAAGCCGAGAATAACGAATGTTCCCGACTTACTTTGTCTGACAATCAACAACTGAGTCCAACTGAGCACGACGGAATTATTCTGCGCTCCAAATGGGACAATTTCTACTTGGTAACCATTCCACAGTTACCGTCTCTGACATTGATACTGGAACCGTACGTGTAGAATTGCTTTGTACATTTTTTGAATATTTTTTCACGCATCGAAATTCGCCAGGAACCTGGATTAAGTGCAATTTGTTTATCAGCACGGTCCAACTGACATTGCAACTGGCTACGCAACCGAATCGCGGATATAGAGTCTAGAGAACCAATCGCTCAAAATCCTTCAAGATCTGCAGTTATTCAAGTCCCACGAGATTTGGAAAGGGCTAAGGCGCTTCTGATTAAATTCAACAAAATTTATCCGGTCTTGACTGGGGCTCATTGTTTACGGGAAGTGCCAACGTTGTCTGGGAGCTGTTCAAGAATGTCCTTCTGCAGCTCATCAGCAACAACTGCCCACTGACTAGTGTAAGATTGAACAAACGCCCTGGGTGGGTTAATAGCAACCTTAAGAAGGAAATCATCAGGAACCACAAATTGTCGAGAAAATACTACGTCACTAGACAAGTTAAATGCGATAATATTTGTGTCTGTTTAGTATGGCTGTGATCATGCCTGGTTTGACTGGCCTCAATAATGATAGATGGGCGTTCACCGATCTTTCTTACGGAACTCACTCGTCTCGTTGTGCCTTACGGGCCCTCTCTCACTCGAGCCCCAGGTGTTTCAAACTTCGGGGTTAGTTATGACTGGCTGACGACGATTAATTAGACAGAAATGACCATTCCAGTCTCCCTTGTCTTTATTGGTAGTAACATTCTAGTCTCAATAATGTCCACTCGCGGCAATCTGCGATGATAGGTCTGATGCTCCCAGCTCACTCGCATTTTCAACCTTGAAGATCGAGTGGCTTAGGTCTAAGGGCAACCTCCGTTTCCTGTCAGTGTATGCTTAATCAGCTTTGATCCTCCATTGGGGCGGCAAAGTCTGATTGTGCTCTGAAGGACTAAACTTTTGGCGACCGGGAGCGTGTCCATGACACACTAACCGTATTTTTTGGACGAACTGGATTAGCTTTCAATGTTTAACATGGTGAGGTTTCTATTATTCCAGGCGAAGTCTGCATACTTTACTCAGAGCATTTGTAGCAATTACAACGGCGCAACTTACCAACAGACACGTGATAAGGTTTGCAGCAGCCTTGCTGTCAGCGTCGTGTCGCGTGCCCATGGACGGTTATGTGAAATGGTGACTGTGGTCCCAAATTATGCAGATTGCCTACCTTCGTTTCCTCGCAGTTAAACGCTTGAGTCAAAGTGCTTGAGGAAACAACTCTAAGCAAGTAGCCAGGGCGGCTTTCAGGAATCCACTTATACTCGAAAACTTTAAGAGCCCTATGTGTCCTTAAATACCCCTACAATACATGATATGTAGCCTGCAACCCTAGTTTAGTGGCGGGGTTGGATAGTATGCGAACGACCACGTAATCGAGAATGGACTCTTGCCGACCCTGATACCCGAAGTCAGAAAACGCACGGTTTTCGTCAGTACCACACAGATGTGGGTTGTTTGCTCGATATCCAGATCTCTGACTTGAGCCCTTAGGAAATCAAGATTTCGGGGCCCAGATTGTAGTTCAGCCACTGTGGCGGCCACACGCGCAAATTCATTTTTAGACTTGGTACGGCAAGAAATCTCTCGCGACGGGAGAACCACTCACTGCTATCACTTGAGACAGTCAACGACCGACATATTTACGTGCACGTTGGGGGCACTTTGCTAACACCCCCGTCTTTTTCTGTACACGAAAGTTATAGACTGAATGTATAGAAAAACCTACTCGCGGCCACAAAAATTGGTTGAAGGACTCCTCAACCGTGGTCTACTTGTTGGTATCACCGATTGGAATGATTGCAATGGGCCAGACGACACTCGCTTTGCCGCCGGAATCTGAGGATAATACAGTAGCTCACAATTGAGGTTCTAAGTCTGCGAGGCAACTGGAGGGGTTTTCAGGTTCTCCCAGCGACGCTGTTGTAATTGTATCAACTGGAAACTCTTACAGTTTTCTGCCCAGACAACTTCAGCTATGTCTCGCAACGAGGGTTCCTTTCACCAACTTAGAATAGTGATAGCAAAGTGTACCATAAATTTCTGGAAAAACTATCGTGCCAAAGTGGCCATCTTGAGGGAAGTGAACTCAAGCATTGGCAAAACATGAAAACTACTAATTTGTTCGTTGATAAAAAGTGCAAAAACAACTACAGCTGTGGTATCATATATGTTGCTGCAAGTGGCTTTACTGTTGCCGTTCTGGAGGACGTAACCCAACAAGGCCGCATTCCGAACCGAGTGCCTAAAGGTCGACTATATACCCACACTGGCGCATTCTTGAACTTGCCTACTTGAACCAACGGTCATCTGCTTTGTTGTCCTTGATTCAACGTCCGGTTCTGTCTATCGTGAGTTCCTGTTGTGGATAATGAATATAGGCTATTTTCCGTCAGTAACTATCGCTACGAGGGCCTGTTATCCTCCCACCCTAGCCCCGATCAGTAGCAATCACAAGCGTTTAGTGTTCGGTCTGGCTTTTGACAGGGTTTCATTCTGTCGTCCATCTTGGCCGGAATCCCGAAAGGATCCTGCGCATTGCCGAGGTCTCCATCACTGCGAAACCGTGTGCCCCGGACATCGTCCCAGCGAGTCCTGTATGGATTCGAGTGCTGGGCTGCACGCGCGGAGGACGTGCCACTTTGATCCACCAACAAAGGCGGTTTAACGGCTGCTCTCGAGAGCGAAGGCGAGTTTTCGTCCACACCACAATGAGAACCTACTCGTTAAGATTTATCTGTCCCTTGATTGCATCAATGGTCAGTCTTTCGTTGGCTCGACCTTGTGACGGACGCCCGTATGCTGGTTGATCTTAGAAGGCGTTTAAACTCATCTGAGACATTCTTGATGTTTATTTATTGCCCAGTAGATCTCCAAATTGAGGTTCTTCTTGTGCACAATGTCTGCATGCCCTCAGTTTGGAGAAGAAAATGCTTGCTTGCTCTGTGTATCTGTTCGATGTTGAAGTGTCCGAACGCAATCGCTTGGTTTGCGCGCTGGCAGTCCTCCGGCACCTGATTTCTTCCCGATAAATGCGTTTGCATTCCTGCTGGGCCGTGTAAATGCTTGCTCAGTAACCTGCCTAATCCTCCTCTTCCTGACTCATTTTTTGTTGGTTTAAGTCCTGGCCAAATGTTTTTCTGGACCAGGGGATGTATTGGCACGCCTAACTGCGGGTCCGGCCGTATCAGTCACCTGCGCTCCCCCGTCTTCGCTCAGGCGGAGAGAAGGCGCGGTAGATACCGTGCAAGTTTACTATCACTGCAAAGTAGTTCACACGCAAGCCACCATGTCTGCTCCCACCTCGCTGTGGAGCTTACAGTGGGCATCGTCCGCAACGACAGTCGAATTGTCGGCTGCGGTCGCAGTATAAGAGGCCTATACTCATTACTTCTCTGGGTACCTTTACTGGGTCTCCTATACGTCTGTTTTTCTTTCTTCTAGGAGAAACCCGTGCTCAGCCGATACCTGAAACATGCAGAGATTCACAACAAGGTATGTCTCAGCCCTGAATTCCGTGCGGATACGCTCCCGCCTGTTTACTTATCGACTTAAATCTCACCCAGCACTTCAACTTTAATACCGAAATGTAGAACCTGGAAATAGATCTCTGCTGGCGCGAGCATCGGAAACACCGCAAACGACGACGATCTCGATCTACCTCGAGCAAGCCGTCTTCGGGTCGTCCAGCTGCCGCCGCCGCAGCCGCTGCCTCCACCGTTCGCAGTGACTCGGCCGAGCGTAACTGGCGCCGCGAACGGAAGCGGCAACTAGAGGAGAACTTCCGTGGGTTCTCCGCCTCCGCGGCTGGTGGTGTGAATGCGCTAGACTTCTGGCGTGAGGTTGTTCGTCGCGGCGCTGCAGCCACCGATCGCTGGGGACACGACGGATTCGAGGAACTCAATAGGCCTGGTCCTCCGGCACCAGCGTCGCGCGAGCGCAGGCGCAGAAGCACCTCCTCGTCCGGTGACAAAGTAATTATCTCCTCCAGCGTTCTTCCTCAACCTCCGCGACCTCCGCCACCACCAATTGTCCTCAAAATTTCTTCCCCCCATGCCCCATCCTCATCCCCCTCACCCACAACCACGGAAGATTCCTCCGACTCCGAGGAGTCTGTCTGCTGGGAGGAGGCGGCAAAGCCGACTCCGCAGAGGTCGCCTCCTCCCCCAAACCCTCCGCCGCAGCCGGAAAGTAGCAAGAGGGAGGTCATGCAAGAGAAGCACAAACCGCGGCGGAGTAGGAAGCATAGGAAAAAGAAGGTGAAAAGAAGGCAGCGCTCTAGACGAGCTTCCTCTTCATCCTCCCGCTTGCGATCCTCGGGGAGTTTTAATAGTAGCGATGAAATTGAGTGGACTGAGAAGACCTGACCCCTCAATTTGGTGCCTTTTTGTTTTAATTTATCCACTTTGCCAGTTTTATAGACATGTTGCCTTTTTCTTTTGTGGAATTTTTTGAACGTGTGAGTTCTGCTTGACTACCTACTCTTCTCTTTAAATGGACGGTTTGCTAAGGACAGAGCCGTGCGCAACATGCGTTGGGGGGTTTTGGTTGCTTGCGATGGTGATACCAGATGTTGAGCGGCAATTCCAGTCGGCATTATGATCTTCGACTACGCAGTGCGCGGTTCGCAGTTCACTTGGGAAAACCGACGATCAAACCGCCCTGCTGAACCTCACACCTGGCCGTCAAACGTTGGCAAGGGGGTTAGATGTATCGGGGCGATATGTGGCGCTCGGTTGGCGACCGGTTTCTCCAATCTGGCTTGATTTCACAGTGGATCCCGTCTAGAACCCTCGCGAACACGTACCGACGAGAAGTCGATATTCAAGAAGTTTTCGCCTGAGCCCATTTCTGGTCGTCTGGACGTTTTTTCGCCATTGGGAAGGATGGCTGGGGGAAGAGTGAGTGCTGTAGATGCTTCGCAAGCCCGCCTCGCTACAAACCAATCCACACACAGGTTTCTGTGCGCCCAGTCTGTGGAGCGCGCGGTGGGAGCTGTGGATTGTGATCGCCGAATCGTCATTCGAGAAATCCTACCGCCGTGAACTGACTTATGCGCCACCTACCCGCAGAGTTTGTTTGAAAGCTTTCTGTAAATTTGTCTTTCAGGCAGCTTTATGACCCCAAAACAGGTATGAGTTTCACATCATCTTCCTGACAGTGCGTGAATCGGAAAGCCACACTATTCCGTATTCTAAAAGTCTGTCCCTCCGATCTCTTTTTGCCACAAAATGATCCGCGTCGAGGGGATTCACTGCTGTCACTGCGGAAAGGGATTTCGTTCGAATGGAAGGACGGTTAGGAGGACAGCCCAAACCTGACAGCAACACCTTGGAGTGAGTGGACCGCTGCGGAAGCAATGTCGATGAGCCTGCTTTCCTTATCCTCCGTTAAGCATTTTAAGACGGGATATGGAGCGGGTCTCAGGCGCAAGCTAGTTATCTCTGCCACAAACATGCGTGACGTTGTGGCGGCCAGATTTATTCAGACTCCACAGCGGCAGCTTCAGTCGGGTGACAAGGGGACGCAATAACCCGGTCAGTCAGTCCCCGTCGCCCATGCGCGATTTAGACGGCCTGTTGTCTTCTGTTAACTCACCGAATCAATGCTCGCGAGTACTTCATAGACTGCATTTTTTCCCACTGACCTCCTTTTCTACCTCGTGGGTGTTTGATGGGTCTGGAAATCCTGTTCTTGCGATGTTAACGCTCTCCCCTTAACTGGCAGCCTCTGTTCGAGGGCAAGTCGTTCAGCGTCTAGAGCACTGTCTGTTTTGAGACTGACAATCCTAGATCGCTGTTTGGAGGTAGTGTCACCTGGCGCAGGGCCTAGAGGCATCGATTTTCTTCACACACACTGAGTCTGCACACTTGTTTACCTCGTCTCCTCACGGGCGGCAGCATCACCCAATTTCCAGACGGTTCGCTGCAGGCCACAGCACGTTTTCCGCAGAGGTCACGCTCCGGTCGCACTACGGATTCCCGTCAGCGCTAACTCAACGCGTTCTCGGGAGCTTGTGCTCTGGAGAAGCGCGCGCGCTCTAATTTTGATTTAAATCTGCCCCCAACTGGGGTGAGGACTACGTGCTTGAGGGGTAGGGCCTGAGTTGTTGTTCTGTTAACTCGTCGCGCTGTCTGTCTAACCGGAAGGCGCCGTCTGCTGCCAAAGTTGGCATACAGCCATCAAGGAACATGGGTGCTTAAAACATGCCAGTGCAATAGCTCTGAGCCCCTCTCGGCGGGTTCGATGATGCGCAGTTGGATCACTGACCTTCACACGGAAACGGCCCTTGTCAATCACGTAAGCTGCACCAGCTACCAATACTTGGTCCCCTCTCCGCTCTGGTTCCCTGACCGACTGTTGGGCTCGACATGTATAAATATAAGTTTGCTTGCGGTCTTACTAACGCAAACTAGGCTCATATTTCCATGGATTATAGACGGAGACATCTTTCGAAATTGAATATTACGTCTGACAGGTCGCCCATGTACGCCCTCATCTACGTCATTGGATCGGGGATGCGGTGTACCATTTTGGCACGGGGTCGTCTGACATTCACTAGCAGGTTGAACAATCATGTACAGTGCGTGACCTATCTCATGAAATGTTGGCTGAAATTCTGAAATGTGTTTTCGATTAGGAAGGATTACTTGGTCGCGGTTGCGATACTGATTATCTTAAGGCATAGTCTTATAACATTTTAGACTCGGCAGGATGTCGGCTCTTAAATGCACTTCTTTCCAATCTCCTGTAGAAAGCGTGCTCGGTAAAAAATGACTACTTAAGTAGCATGCATTTTTCCCATTGATTTTCGATGGTCTTGGAAATTCAAATATATTTTATAGAAACCACAAACAAAAATGTGTTTTCTTTAAGTCAATCAATAGAGAATCACGTCTTCTTTATATTTTATACTTAAGGAAGGAGTATAATTAGGTTTTAAAAAAGTTGCTAATTATGAGACTTTTTAAGACCGCGATATGTCCATTCACATAGCATCGTACCTGGCCGTTTACCACTGCTCCTCATGAAATGTACATGGTCCGTATCCATTGCAAAATTTTATGGACCCTGTATGATATCTCTTTAATGACATAGAAAAATATGGGATTTTCTTTACGCGGAACGCATGCACCTTGTGGAGTGTAATCACTAAGCGCTAATGTAACGAATGATCAGGCTCCAAATTATTCGGCAATTAGAAAACTTTTTAAAACCTTATTGTAACCCTTCCTTAAGTATAAAATACAAAAAGACGGGATTTTCTAATGATTAACTAAAAGAAAGCATATTTTTGTTTGTGGTTTCTATAAAATATATTTGAATTTCCAAGACCATAGAAAATCAATGGGAACAATGCATGCTACTTAAGTAGTCATTTTTTACCGAGCACGCTTTCTACAGGAGAGTGAAAAGAAATGCATTTAAAAGCCGACATCCTGCCGAATCCAAACCGTTATAAGAGCATGCCTTAAGATAATCAGTATCACAACCGCGACCAAGTAATCCTTCCTAATCGAAAACGCATTTCAGAATTTCAGCCAACATTTCATGAGATAGGTCACGCACTATATGTGTTTCACTGTACGTACACGTATTTAAGCGAATGACACCAAAAGACTAAAGTTGCAGTTCTGGCTAGATCTGAACTCCTATCAGCAGAATACCAAATCAAATAAAAACGTTGGTGCTGGTTCTAACATAATCAGCACATACTATTAAAGTGTCGCGCCTCCCTAGGACGGGATTGGAAGGGGAAGTTCGAAGAGACTCGATGTGGATGTGTGGATGTGAGATTGCCTGTTCTCTCTGTCTCACGGTACCGCGATCCCACCTGTCAATATTTCATTGGCTACCATATACGCACACAGTATTTTGCAGACTGTTAAAATGTTGTAGCATGCCCTTCTTTACGATGACAAACGTGTCTTCTACGTAACGGCGCCAATATACCCGCTTATATTGAATGGAAAAATCTTTTCTAACCCCTGCATGACCAGTTCTGCCACTAAATCGGAGACCGGTGTGCCCATTGGAGTTTCCTTGATTTGTTCACATGTCTTTTCAGCAGAAGTGAAGAAAGTTTGTTAACAGAATCCAAACAGCCTCATGAAGGTCTCAATTTTGAGTGCATTCTGAGTCTGTTCGTACGCCTCTTCAAGCCTCTTTCGCATGACTTCGCGGGCGGAGTTTGGTGGGATGGAGAACATGATTTCGTCCGATTGAATCCTCCGACCTCGGAGATCTATGAGGAATAGAGATTCTGACTGAACTGAGGTACTTGAATTGTCTTGGACAAACTTCAGTTTTGAGTACATCCACTTTGCCGTATTGTAAGTGGGGCTGCCTTTTAGGGCGACGATTGGCCGATGTGGGACATTTGCTTTATGGATTTTTGGCAGACCATAGAATCGAGCTAGAGCGGTGTCAGTTGCCTCCATTTGGTGCCATTCGTTCTCCGTGATTACACTTTTATGTCGGTATTCTCTGGCCTTCATGCTTTATAACTGTCGCTTGTTATGTTGCTGCTACCATCTCTGACGATGGACTCCTGTACGAGTATGAAAGTTCAGGATAATAAACGAAGTATTCCGGTGCTCGACCCCTCTTTCTCTTTTTTATCATATATGTGTGTTTCGGTAGGGCGTTCGTAGAGACCCCGTTCTGCCCATTCTGAGTCTAGACCTACTCCTAGTGCTCTACGTTACCCTGTGCGTGTGGGCCACCCTCAGGGCCCTTGGAAGCTTTTCTTGAAATTGACGTGGCATCGTTGTGCATAATTTATACCTCTTATGAACTTACTAAAACAAATACAGTAGTAATCATTTTACATATTTCGGTCGGACACCTTCCATCCTCATCTTTGGACTACCGCAGGTGAGAATATGCCCGCACTACTTCGACCCAAATATTCAAGTCGCGCCTCCCTAAGGCGGTATTGGTACAGTAAGTTCGAAGAGACTCGATGTGGATGAGTGGAAGTGAGATTGCCTGTTCTCTCTGTCTCACGGTGCCACAATCCCGCTTGTCAATATTTCATCGGCAACCATATACTTACCCGGTATTTTGCTAAAGGCGCAAACGAATTTGCAGTGCGTGACCGATCTCATAAAGTGTTGGCTGAAATTCTGGAATGCGTTTTCGATTAGGAAGGAGTACTTAAGCGCGGTTGTAGTACTGATTATCTTGCGACATAATCCTATAATATTTCGGACTCGGTAGAATGTTAGCTTTTGAATGTACTGCTTTTCAATCGCCTGTGAAAACCGTACTCAGTAAAAAATGACCATCTATGTAACATGCACTTTTCCCATTGATTTTCGATGGTCTTGCAAAATCAAATATATTTTATAGAAACTACGAATAA